GAGATCTAGACCATTCCTGATGGGATACTCATAGTTCATATCGGCCTTCTATTTTGTTTCATTGGCAGTTAAAAGGTTATCCCCGTCCGTGGCCGGTGGAAAGCGCGTGGAAATGGTGGCCACGGATTCATTCATAAATGGTGAACGGTGTTACAGCACGAGGTTCTCACTGTGACTTTTCGAGGCGTGTTGAGGTTTACATATATACAAAGCGGTAAAGATATTTAACCGAAAAAACCGTATCCGCTTAGAAGGTATTGGCGCGTGCAAATGAGCAAGGCAATGAGTGAATGTTTGCTGTAAGCCCCCACAGCGATGCCAGCAACCTTACAAGTTGATCAATCGTGACTAGCTCCATCTTCGAGAGCAAGCCATTAGAAACTTTAGGCAAAGATGAATCTTTATGAGGTTACAAGATTGATACTTCAATTAGTTTTACCAGTGCATGAAGCTTTTCATCTATGTCGGCCTGAATAATTTTGATCAGCGCTGTTACAGTGGCGGGAGGTGATCTTGGCAGACAGGCGGCATCAAAACCCGCTAGTGACTGGACGCGAAAGACACGGAAGTGGGCTACATAGGAAAAGACAATGGATGCATCGTGATATCAGAATATCTTCTCTGCAGATCGCCAATATGTAAGTCCCGTTTTCTAATATAGGGGAAAACGCTCTTTGAACGTAACGTGTGTGGAGAATTATTTAACAACAGCATAGCAGAGGCGGGAGGAACGCGTTACATGTGTGCACACATATTATATTCGCAACATTGATTTATTTCCATGTTGCTACTTCCTATATACCAAAAATATATTTAGAAGACACTGGGGTATTCTGTTGTTTGCTATTTCGGCCTCCTAGGGCATTTATTTACTGCAGATGTGTTTATTCTCCCGTGTTTATCTTGGATCATAATAGAAAGCATCAAATCACGCCGACGCCAGATGGAGAAGACAGCAGACTGCAGGACCAAAAAATTAGCGTTGATTTTTTGGCTTCTGGTTTATAGTACAGCGGTGTACTTTACTTTGTTAGCATGCACCAAAAACGTATACGTTGCGTAAGCAATCAACGCACGACAAACAGATACTTATACACGCGCGCAAGCACGCACCGAAAGACGCCGACACAAACATAGCAGATATATCGCGCACGAGCAGGCCGCATGCGCACAAACAGATAACTTATACCGCCGCGAGGCACGGCACTCATACAACATCCAGATCATACGCCGACGAGCACGCATGCGCAACAAACAGACACTTTATACGCGCGCAAGCAACGACACAGCCGCACACAAAACATACGCGATATACGCGCAGAGCAGCATGCGCACAAACAGATAACTATAACGCGGGAGCTACGCGACAGCGAGCGACGCACGGAAATAATGCGAAAACCTCTATACGTAGCGCTAATGCTAGCTAGTATCACAGTAATCGATGTCAACTATTGTGAGAGGCGAACATGAAATGAGCACCAATGGAGGAAATTCACACGCCAGGAGGAGTGGAAGGATGCTATGGCATGCACTGGTTGTTCTAGATCTGTTACGACGAGAGAAAAAAAAAAGAAAAAAACAAAAAAAAAAAAAAGCAGTATCTGTCAACAGCTGGGAAATAATAAAATGTCAGTTGTGATGTACTGCTGGCAACTGTTTGTGAATCACATTTTTGGGATTAGAAATTGGATTCGGCCATACATCTGTGTGGTTATGTAGGAAATAATTGCAAGCAACTAACGCATAAACCTTAACCCATCTAATCCTAACCCTAACGCTAACCCTAACTCATAACCCTAATCCTAACCATCACACTAACACTAACGCGTAAATCCTAACTCTATAGCCAGCTAACGCTAACGCTAAACGCTAACCCTAATTGCCCTAAGCCTACAAGCCATAACACTAACGCCAACGCCTAACAATACGCGCTGTAAATAAGACAGTGGCCGGCATAACCATGACATTATATGTACTGTAATCTAAATCGTCATGTTTAGCAGTCGCGGCGCATCCTTTCACTGTGTTGCGTATATATAGAAGGTTGTTTGAGGTGGCGGAATAAGGAGCGAGAGTTTAATTCTGATAGCGTATAATATTAACAAGTGTGTGCACATAGTAAAACGTCGCAACGTTGTTAATAAATAGCAATTATGTTAAACCAGCCAGTATACAAATTGTGGAAAGCAACTTGGCAAAGCTACGTGGAACAGACTATGATAACATTCCGGTGGCGAGACGACTGAACAAGACTAATATTATTACTCGTCGTGTGTCGTTGCTGTCAGCGGATTTGAAACCACGCGCGAGAAAGAATTGTCTCCAGCAGAGCGAGGATTTTGTGAAATTAACGCAGGCAGTCGCGAACGTCAACGCAAATGCATAATCGCCACACGCAAATTCGGAACACAAGAGCGCGCGACGTCGCGCGCACGCACGCACGCACCGCACGCCTGGACCGCACGCGACGCCCCAACGACCACGCGACGACGCACGCACGCACCGCAAACGACCTATATGCATGCAGAATGCACGTGGAACTGAAACCGCGGGCAGACAATAAAACGTGTAGCACTAGTAGTGTTCATGTGCACTATAAATTGATATTCAAGTAATGCCACTACTGTAGTGTACTGTCTCTGGCGAATCGTCACTGCTAAGCTTATATACTGGTAACTAACGCGTATGTATCTAGGGTGGTCGTAATGTTGCGTGCGAGTATGAGTGTGCGTGTGCGTGTGCGTGTTGCGTCGTAGCGTGTGCGTGTGCGTGTGCGTGTGCAAATGTATAACGCAAGATTATTTATACATCCACATATTGCATGGCCTCTCTTTGAACAGCAGCTACGACGTGCTGCTCCATGCTTGCACCGTTGAGTAATTGTCTATAGTTGAGTGAGATTAATTATGTATTAATTATTGTAAAGTATCTATGCTTACTATATCAGTAGAATGAGTCAACTGTTTTGTTATCTTTTGGATATAATATTGATGTTCTGATTTGATATATATGTATAATTAAATAATAATAATGTAGAAAATGTTTTTTGTTGCATGAATTACTACAATGCATTGTAAATATCTACTCAATCAAAGCTTAATACTCAAATGTACAGTTCTTTGAATATATATTTAATACTGTTTTTTGAGAAGCTTTTTATTGTTGGATATTTTGCGATCACTTACGCAACGCCACACGCAGCAACTAAAATTAGGGTTCTGGCCTTTATTCGGCTTTTCCTGAATCCAATGGGTAAGATCTCGGCTGAAGGGGAGAAAATGTGGAGGAGAAGCTGGAGCCCCGAAAAATGTGGGTTCCATAAGAACGAAGCCAATGTTAGCATAAAATGAGGACATTGGAAGGTAAAATGCGTGCAACAAGGGAGTGGTAGAGACTATCTATGTAGAAGATTGAAATTGGGAGGAAAATAAAAAGAAAAGCAAAGATATTGGTCGGGGTGAGGACAAGGATCGATGGAGAGAGCTTAATTAGGTGGGTGATCAACGAGGTAAATTGAATACTTTGTTTGTTGTGGCGGTTTGCTTGGAAGTAGAGGGTGAGAAGACACAAAGTGTGAAAAGATAAAGGCGAGCAGCCTATTAGCCAAGGTAGGGCGTATAACTTTTGTTTTACGTCATCCACCTGCCGTATAGTAGCGGTAGTCCTACTACATAATTCAATGAAGGAGCGATACACCTGTTTTACTATGTGCACGTTTTTGCAATGGTGCCCTGATGTGGTGGTACCTATGTTATTTGACATTTCGACCAGCTATTCAGTTGTTGCAATGACCGGCCGACAGCGTTAATGTATTCGCGATTAGATCCGACACTTCGTGTCAGTTATCAAGCACTCAGTGTCCGGAAAGCTGTCCATGAGGGCACCGTGAACCCAGAGTCAGTGTTTCATGCGGGTAATACCAGCGCTACAATGTTGACGCATAATATACGGAAAAATACTCGTCAAGGCGTAGGTGGTGCATGGCAAGCGGGTTTAGACGTATCAAATTAAATACGGTCGTATATATACAGTCTACGATACAAGCGTAAATGCTTGTATCGCGAAGTATACAGGATTCAGCTAACAGCATCTCGGACCACAGCCAAGATGAGACTAACAGAATAGTCACGCTGCTGCTGACAGCCGTGACTCTGATTCGGGCGGAATGGGTTGGATGTCAACGACGGTTATGTCTTAATTATATAGAATGTACATGATTAGTTTTTCAATACTGGTCTGTATTTTCGCTTAATAAACTAGCATCATTTCTTTAGACTTTATAGACGATTAATGCAGACATTTAGCGTTTCGTTTCGGAAAAAGAAATAATTAGCATTCAAAGTTGAATCAAGACTAGAGATTAAAGTCAGTATTGTTTCATTAAAGATGCGGCTAATATGTATTTGTGAGCTCTGTAAAGGCGATACCTGCAAGGCAAATGGCAAGGAGTACAGCCGGGGTAGCTTTGTTCCACTCCCGGAGGGAAAATGCGAGATATGTATTTGCGAACGCCCAACCGATAACATATACTGTCAATAGTAAGCAAGTAATTGTTATGCTGTTGTTTTACTATAGTTGTGTGTAGTAGGAACTACATGCAACGCATGCAGTGCCGGGGTTGTCAACTCTCACGCATTCGGCGTGAGACTCCACGCAATTGAGGCATATCTCACGCGCTCACCATCCAGGTCTGCTAAGTATGCAGCCAGAATGCTCAATTTCAAGCTGAAAAATGCAAAAGCTTCCTGGTGTGGTTAGGGGGTTTGACGCCTCTAGGGGTTGATATTCTATACACAAATCTTACAATCACTAGTTGTAGGTACTGGGTACGCATCCATGAATATTTTATTTACATTTGTAAATAC